AAAGTTGAGAAGCTTCATGCCCTTGTTCATGAATGGCAGCTTGTAGCAAGCAGAGAGTATTCGGCAGCTTCTCTTTATGACGAGATCACCAATCTGATTATCAGCTGGCGCCGGCTCGAATTGTCAACGTGGGCCAAGCTACTCGACCTTGAAAAAGAGAAGTGTGCTCAAGACGTGAGCACATGGTGGTTCGTTGCTTACGAAGCAATTATTGCAGCCCCCATTCAGCTCGCAGCATCTGGTCAAACCGAGTTGAGCGACCATATTCAAGGTGTCATCTCTACGCTGGAACAATTCTTCATGTCGACAACTATTGGGCAATACAGCCAACGACTCAAGCTTGTGGCCAATTTCCGGTCACTGCTTGCACTCTACGTCCTCGATTACCCAGCTCTGGAGCAACTTGTATCTGCATTGGACAATTTTCTTCAACACTTCAAGCCGTTCGAGCCTGCAGTGCACAAGTCGATGGAGGACCGCAGGGCCGCCATTGAGAAGGACATCAAGCAACAGATTCAGCTGGCCAGCTGGAAGGATACGAACATCATTGCGCTCAGGGAAAGTGCCCGGCGATCACACTTCAAACTGTTCAAACTCGTTCGAAAGTATCGTGAAGTTTTGGCACAACCTGTCCAGCCGATTATACAGCAGGGAATGACAAACGAACCGGACGAACCGAACATTGCCACCGATGAGATCGTTTTGGCTTCGACGAGCTTCCCCGATGCTCTTGCTTTGTGCCAGGGAGAACCTGCAATATGGCCGAGCAGACCACCCAGATTCCGGAATGCGGATAGCACAGCCGGCAACATGACCGATCTGTATTCTTCGATGCCTAATGAGTTTGACATCTCAGACGATCTCGACAGCTTCGTCAAATTCTTCATTGAGAGCATCACGGAGTTCAAATCGCAGACTCCTAAAGTGCTGACTGAGGACAACAAGGATGATGTCCAGCATCTCAAGGTCCAGAAGCGTCGTTTCTATGCAGACACATTGAAACGGCTCCTGGAAATGGGTATCAAACGCAATGCGAGCACTAACTTGATTGAAAGCCAATCTTCCATTGCTCAGGTTCTCGCTACCAGCCCAAGCTTGGAAGTCGGGGACTCGGCATCGCATCTCATCAAGGGCTCCGATCTCTACTTCCACCGATTCTTGGATCTCCTGCCTCGCGTGCGTCAAGCATCTCGTGAATACTCGGAAGATCTCAGTAATGTCGAGATCTCAAGGAGCGTTGGCACCCTGGAGCATTTGATGTTCTTGATAAGGAAGCAGCGCGGGGTCATTTCTCCGGCACTGTCTCAATTGGAAACGATGAAGTCCACGATTATCAAGATGTCTAATCTCTGGACTTCTGGAGCTGCCTCCCTCTGCAAGTCGCATTCGGATCTCTCGAAGGACAGACAAGACCTCAGGAGAGCTGTGGCATGGCTTACTCCCATTCTTGGCCTCGCTGCCGAAATCGTGCAGCTACATTCCAAGTTCTCTGAAGTCGATGCCTCAAAGGTTTCTGATGGCTTGCACGCTTGGAGACACACGTTTAATCGACTGAAGTTATCACTAGACAACATTCCAGAGTTACCTTCTGGCCTGACGTCTGGGCGTCATAAGGATGTCTTGGAAGAGGTGTCGTCTTCTCTCGCTAGCTTGAATGCTGATGTCTCAAACTGGACCGCAGAACGTCCTGACTTGTCTTTCGCATTAACACAAATTACCCCATGGGCGGAGGCCAAGGGAGATGCAACTGCTAGGACTCACAGCGAGGATAGTCTCGCTATTCAGGAATTTGACGCAAGGCTCCTTGCAGCAATTGACAAGATCTTGGTCAGTCTTCAGAAACTTAAAGACGTGCCTGCTTCCCTTGCCTCCATGGGCTCGCTGTCGCGGAGTGATGAGTTCTTCACGAGGGCAATGAAGGCTGTCCACCTCTCTGACGTTACTTCCTCCCTCGAGTCCGTCCTCGACAACCTGCAACACTTGCATGCCAGCACTAAGAACACTTATGCACTTGCCTCTGCATTGGTGGCGAGCCTATTGCCCATCACAAACCGATACTTTTACATCTGCAGAGACATAATCCAGCGGTTTGTGTCGGTGCACAGAGAGACTTGCAAAATGTCGTACATCCTCGCAAAGTCATTCACGCAGATAGCCTCAGAAGGTTTCTGTAGCCCGGCGGAGGCATCTGCAGAAGAGAGCAAATCTGGAAAGTTGGAAAGTGGAACCGGCCTTGGCGAGGGTGAAGGTGCTGAAGATATTAGCAAAGACGTCGGGGACGACGAGGACTTATCTGAGCTTGCTCAGCAAGAACAGAATGAGAAGCCCTCTGAAGACATGGAGGATTCCGCGGAGGCAGTGAACATGGATCATGAAGATATGCAAGGCGAAGAGATTGATCGCGAGGCGAAGGACGAAGATGATGAGGATGCCAGTGGCTCGGAAGGAGAAGACGATATCGATGAGGAAGTAGGCAGCGTCAACGACCTAGACGACACCGCAGTGGATGAGAAGATGTGGGATGGCGACCATGATGAGAAGCAGAAAGAGACAGAGAACGAACAAGGCAAGGGAGCAACCGGACCCGATGAGCAAACCGCAGCGCAAGAGGAAGAAAAGACTCAAAAGAAGAGTGACAAGGATGCAGAACAGGAGGGTGAGGAAGAAGAGAACGAATCAGACGAAGAAGCCCCTGAGGATGAAGGCGAGGCTGTTGGACGAGAAGATATGGAAGTGACGGACCCTCACGCCAAGGAAGAAGAGGCGCTTGACCTACCCGAGGAGATGCAACTGGATGGCGACGAAAAGGAAGATGACGGTGTCGAAAGTGACGACGGAATGGACAATATGTCGGATTTCGGTCCTGCGCCTGCGGAGGACGAGCAACAGGCTGAAGGAAATGAGGACAATGCTGAAAATGAAGATATGGATCATCCAACAGACGAGCAGGGGCCTGATCAGGCAGATGAAGAAGCCATGGAGGACCAAGAGGCCAACGAGGCCGAGGGAACCGATGAAGCCAATGCAGCGGAGGAGGAAGAACCAGAGGAGGCTCAGCAAGAAGAGTTCTTGACTCAGCATGATGACAATGAAGCTGGTGGCGAGGAGGTTGCTCCTAGCGAAGCAGTTAACGGTGGCCTTGGCGCGGATCAAGATCAAGACAAAGAGCAAGGCGCGTCCGGCAATGCTCAGCAGGACGATGGCTCGACCGATCCGGCCGCAAATGCAGAACAGCCAACTGGCGGTGCCAAGGAAGGAGAGGATAGCCAGCGCAAGAGAGATGCAGGCGGTGCTGATGACGTGAGCCCTGAAGATCCTCAATTACAGGCGTTCAAGAAATTGGGTGATGTTCTTGATGAATGGCATCGGAGGAGAAAAGAGATTATGAACGCTTCCAAGCAGGATGACGATGATGAGTCGCGGAAAACCCTGCCGGAGGATACAGACATGGCTGATGCTGATTTCGAGCATCTTGCGGACCAAGATGATGTTGCTGATACACAAGCACTCGGACAGGCCAGTGAAGAACAAGCAAAGGCCTTGGACCAGAACAAGGGCGTGGAGTCTGACGTCAAACCTAGCGATAATGACCTGTTACCGGACGCTGGCGAGGAGCCGCAAGATTTTGCGGAGGAGAATAGATTGGAGGATGAAATGCAGATAGATGGGGAAGGAGTTCCTACCGAAGGGCAAACCGCAGGCGCATTGATACCCGACAGCTCCCGCGCACAGGAGCGAACAACTGACGCTGCCGGTCAACTTGAGGTTAATGAGGAGCTGGATGAGGTTGATGCCCATCTTGCGGCAATTCACCTGTCGTCCACGCTTCCGCCACTAACTCCACGGGATGAAGCCCAGCGCCTTTGGTCGCACTACGAAAATGCCACAAACGACCTCTCTCTATCCCTGACGGAGCAACTACGACTAATTCTAGCCCCCACACTTGCTACGAAGCTGCGGGGCGATTTCCGGACAGGGAAGCGGCTGAACATCAAGCGTATCATTCCATACATTGCTTCACAGTACAAGCGTGACAAGATCTGGATGCGACGGTCCATTCCCTCCAAGCGCAACTACCAAATCATGCTTGCGGTCGATGACAGCAAGTCCATGCTGGAGAGTGGCAGCGGTCAGTTAGCGTTCGAGACATTGGCGCTAGTCGCGAAGAGTCTGTCGATGCTCGAAGCAGGCGACCTGTGTGTGCTCGGGTTCGGTAATGAGGATCACGTCCGAGTCGCCCACGAGTTCGGCAAGCCTTTCTCCTCGGAAGCCGGAACACAGGTATTCCAACATTTCAGCTACCAGCAGACTGGCACGAACGTGCGCAAACTGATCGCCGATTCTATCGCCCTCTTCCGCGAAGCCCGCTGGAAACAATCGCCAGCAGGAGGCCACGCCGACCTGTGGCAACTGGAGCTCATTATATCCGACGGTATTTGCGAAGATCATGATACCATCCGGCGCCTTGTGCGTCAAGCTCAAGAGGAGCGGATCATGATTGTATTTATCATCGTTGACGCCGTCAAGGGCAGCTCAATCTTGGATCTCAGCCAGGCAAGCTTCGAGCCTGATACGGAGAGTGGAACGGGGGAGATGAAGTTGAAGATGAAGAGATACCTGGAGGGGTTCCCCTTCCCATACTACCTGGTTGTGCGTGATGTTCGGGAGTTACCGGCTGTGCTGGCCACGGCGTTGAAACAATGGTTTGCAGAGGTTGTTGATGTATCATCTTGAGATTTATATATGGTTACGATAGATAAAAGAGGTTGGGCATTTTGTTTATATGGTTGATTTCATTTGTATAGATAGCATCTCATGTATAGATTAGTTGATGACTTGGCTTTCGGATCAAGTTTTATTTCTTCATTTCAAACCCGTCTGATCTAGCGATTTTCGACAAGAGTAAACTATAATTCTTTTAGTCTGAACAATAGACGTTGCAAATTGTGGTATCTAACTCAGAAAGATTTGCATAACACAAACGAATGAGTACATGAAGTTCACCATCCATACTTGGACCCAGCCTCCTTTTTGTTCCTTCGTCCAGTGGCAAAACTCTCCTCCAAAGCCTCCCGTTGGGTGCTCGCCGCATTAACCAGCTGCCGCAGAGTGTGTTTGCCCGGGGCAATGGCCCGAACAGGATTGTGCTGAGCAGCAGCAAGGTCTGTCTGGTGGGCCAACTCCTGGTTGGCAATGTATTCCCTGTCTGTATTGAAGTGCAGAATTCGAGATTTGGAAGGGTCGGTATTGCGTCCAAAGAGCTGTCGCCGTTGGGCCCGGGACAAATTGAGATCGTCTGCGATGTTGTCCAATGTTTGATCCGCCGTCGGCTGTAAGGGGGCCGTCGCGGTCCCAGGCTCGGGCTGTGGGCCAGCCGGGGTGGCTTCTAGGTCGGTGGTATACACCAATGGCTCGTAAGCAGCGCCTTCTGCGTGGGGTTCGGGCACATTCGACGTTGTAGTTTCCTCTCTGGCCAGGGAGAACAGGCTGATTTTTGGTTTTTGAGCGACGGGCGGCGTTGGCTGTGCAACCGGTTGCTCATTGGACGCTTGCGAGGATTGCAGAGCCGTGGTTTCGTTCGCATTTGGCAAAGGAGACGACGAGACAGGCTTTGCCGGTTGCTTCTTTTTCTTCTGCGACGCTCGCCCCACGGACAACGGCTTGAACATCATCGGGTTACCCTTCAACTTGACCTCCTCTTTCTTCTCTCCGTCTACCTGAACCGTCGCGGCCTGCTTGTCGTCAGGCTGTTCACTCCGGAGACTCCCCGGCTTGGGTATCGTCTCATCATCGCCATCGCCCGCCAAGCTATCGAACACCTGTTCCCTCCGAAACTCCGCATCAGCCTCGCGGTCGAAACCCGGAGTCGCGCCCGTCTTCAAGCTGAAGACCTTCCGGGCTGGCGCAGCCGTCTTCCTATCCTTCTCCGCCGTGACGTTGGTCCTCTTCGGAGCCGGTAAAAGGGAATTAAACCCCGAAAATGCCCCGCCTCCGCCTATCCTGGCTCTTTTCCGAGCCGGCCCATCTTCGCCTGTCCGATCGCCATCTGCGGTAGGGTTCTCGGGTTTGATCTCCGGTAGAGCAACGCGAATCTTGCGGGGGTTACTGCGGTCGACGATGGATGAGAAGTTTGCGCCGGAGGAGGGCTTGGGTGGATTCGCAGGCGGGGGAGCTTGACTTTTGTTTGGTGGTTGAGTGACATTGGTCTCTTGCTCTGAGTCTGAAGCTTCAGAATCCGAGTACGATACGAGAGCCATTTTGGACTGGGGTTTGGATGGATGTTGTCTTGATACCAATGTAGTAATGCGTTGCGGAGGATGGCGATAGGGCCGCGATCATGATAGACAGTTCCGCACGTGCCATACTGAGGAAACTGTTGTTGCCTGAATTATACGGTGTCATTTTGGATTGCAACATGCCAACAATATCTTGATGCCTTAATCTTGCCAGGCACAGCAAGGGCAAATTGTATTCTAACCATGCTAATCTCTACGGTTTCAGTAATCTTGGATTAATTCTCATTTGACTCAAGCAAGATACAACTAAGTTGCTCACACCGATGAGGTCAGGTGTTCAGGGCTAGCTACTGATTCAAGATTGTCATCTTACTCTTATCGCCAAAGTAGCTTCGCACACATGAGGAAAGCAGTCTAGGAATATGCTTACCATGATCTTGATCGTAGCGTCTGGACCTGCAGACCAGACAGACTAATCTGTAGTGCTGTTGTATCTCACATCAACAATATCACGGACATGACATCATAAGCCTGATGAGGAACAGCTGATGATCAGATAAGATCAGGCTGACTAATCACAATTGGCATCTGGGAAGAGAAATAGCAACTTCATCTTCAGCTCATTCTACAACGCCTTGCCAGGATCCCCTCTCGTCTCAGCAAATAGTACGACACGATTTAACCTAGTCCAATAGCTATGCACACTTTATAATGAGAACAAGCCATGGACACAGCCAACACCGCAGAAAATGGTCCAGAGCCACAGGCATCTCCAGAGGATGCTAGCGCAGACAACGAATACACCCGCCCAGCCACAGGCAAATTCCGCTTCAAATCCTCCACATCCAAATCCAAGTCCAAGTCTCACCGCGACGAACCATACGATACCCACCATCGCCGCCATCACCGGCATTCCCACCGCCACCACCGCTCCAAACGACACCAATCCAAGCGCTCGCCCTCCCCCGGGCCCCAAGACAACCCATCCCGCCTCTCGCCCGACACCGCCTTCCGCGAGTCCCTCTTCGACGCACTCGGCGACGATGAAGGCGCCGCATACTGGGAGTCCGTATACGGACAGCCGATCCACAAGTACGCAGTCCCATCCGTACCCAAGGGCCCAGACGGCGAGCTGGAGCAGATGTCCGAGGAGGAGTACGCGGCGTACGTGCGCAGTCGGATGTGGGAGCGGACAAGGGAGGGGATTCTAGAAGAGCAGGAGCGCCTGCGCGCCGAGAGGGCGCGGCAGAAGCGACGCGAGGAGCAAAGCGAACAGAGCCAGCGCGAGAGGATGCGGTTCGAGCGCGCGATGGAGGAAAGTCTACAGCGCGGCCGGGAGCGACGGCGGCTCAAGGCGTGGAAGACGATCTGGGACGAGTATAGGCGTTCCTGGGAGGAGGTTAACCGGGAGGTTGGCGGGGGTGCGAGCGAGCGCAGGCCATTCCGAAATCTGGTCTTTTGGCCTGTTGAGTCGGGGAAACGGAGGGATGTTTCGCGCGAAGCTGTGGAGGAGTTTATGCGCCATGCGCCAGTGGAGGCTTCGGGGGTGGGAGACGGTGGTCGGGCGGACAGCACGGCTGGCCTGCTTGCGGTGCTCAAGTCTGAGCGGATACGCTGGCATCCGGATAAGATCCAGCATCGGTATGGTGCGCTGGGGATCGACGAAAGTGTGATGTGCAGTGTGACCGAGGTCTTTCAGATCATCGATCATATGTGGAATGAGACGAGGGCGAAGCAGTCGTAGACTGCTGGGGACCTTTTTTACGTGACCAGATGCAGCATTTTCTCGGCGTTTTTGTTTTTGAAAGGATGATAGCATGATACCCTACAGTTGATAGTCCTTATTCATCACGATCCTTACATCTTATTGCTATAATGTTCGTTCCATAGCCAGGGACCCAGGAATAGTTCGTCAATCTCTTGCTTTCATATCAAAACGACTGTAGAAACCCGCAACTAGACATATATGACACGGCTATGCAATTGCGCAAATATCAGAAACAGAAATCTGACTTCGTACTCCTATTTTTGTGGTTTTCCTTATGCATTCTTCATGCTTTTCGTCCAACACCCCCACTCAAAACCGCGAATAACGCTGCCTGGTCCGGTACGCGGTGAAACCGACGTACGCACCGACGACGGCAGCGAGGAACAGCACAACTTTGAACAGGAACCAACCCCAGCTGCCGCCCTTCTTGGGCACCTTCACGCGGGCCCGGTCCTGTCTGGCGTTGTTTGATGGGCCACGGCCGGAGCCGGCGCCGGCGCTGTTGCCTCCGATGCTGTACAGGTTCTGGGCCTTGACGGAGATGATGTCGTGGTTGTCGCTCAGTTCACCAGTTTCGGCGGAGAAGCCCAGGTAGGAAACGGCTGGGATGGCGATATTGGCCTCAGGGGCGTTCAGAGTGAAGCAGTTGGTCCAGGTGTCCTCAGACTTGTACTGCAAGTCCAGGGTCAGGGACTTGTCCTGGAAGTACGTCAAGCGCGCCTTGGTAGGGATTGAAGCACCGCGCAGACCACGAGCCTACCATTAATTTGTTAGTGCAAAAGTGATTGACTTGGATATCATTTTGGCAGGCTCACAGAACAGCCAGCCACTTCGTTGGCCTTTCCGTCATGAGCCTGGTCGTAAGACGTCTTCCCGTCACCCATCATGGCCATGACGTAGGGGAATGATGTTCCGGGACGGTTGTTCTTATATGTGTCGAAGAAGATACCAAGACCTTCGAAGTTGTCTGTCGACCCGAAGACAGGGCCCTGGGTTGCGCGCTGCTTGGTGAGCCACATGGCAAACCCGTCGCCGTGCAAGTTTCCCTCGCCGTGGATCTTGAACTCAACCTCGATCTGGGTCACACGTCAGATTGTCAATTCCTCCCCTCATATGAAAATCCACCACTGACCTCCCAATTCGTTGCGGTAAGAGGAACTCGAGAGAAGATCCATCCCTGCTGCGAGGGTCGATCCGCTGTCAGACGAATGTACCTAGCCTAATTAGCGCAAGGTTCTCCTCATCTCCAACCAAGCGTCATGGTGGCTCTGATCGCATACTTGTCAGCGCGGATGATTGCATCACCACCAAAATCGAACCAGCGGCTTTGGAAGTCCGAATCCAGGTATGGCTGTGCAAAGTCAACTACGATGTTCGCATTGAAGCTTGAGCAGAAGTCGAGGTGCGGAGCGAGGACCAACCGGAGAAAGACTGTGAGTTCGAAGCTGGTAGAGTCCCAGGTTAGCGGGTCCCAACGGGCATTTGCGCATTCATAGAGAAACGGTCTTGCATACCGGAATGCTCTTGATGTTCTCGTCGCCATTGTAGGCGCTCGTGACCGGGAGAGTAGCGAGGCCAGCGAGGCACAGAAGCGAGGAAAGCCGCGGCAGCAGCATGATGACCGATGTGATTGATTGAATGGAGTCTGAGAAGCTGGAATGATTGTAGTTGTTGCGAAATCGAAAAGGTAAGCGGTAGAGAGCAGACTGCAGCTAGCGAGCAAGAATAATCAAATTCGAGACTGATCGACGTGGGTGGGCTCAATGTCACCGGGACATCAGCGAGCTCTAGACAAGTATACCTTTCCTGAAGAACAAGCTCAATGGGACAAGGTACCTCGGGATAGGCAAGATCGTGGAAAAGAGCAGCGTGAAAGAATGAACGATAGTGAAGAGAGATAAAAAGAAGTACACTACTCAGGTTTCACTGTGTACTGAGAAGAATTGAAGCGAAGCAAGGATCCAAAGAAATGGTAGACTACGTAGTATATGACAGATCCATCCTCATCGAGTAAACATCCAAGTGTCCACTTCGCCCTTGGTGTGGCGCAGCTCTCTAAAGAGATGGCGTGCACCAGCCACACTTTTTCCGAAGATCCTGTCGGCGTCATTATCCAACACCCCAGACTTCAATCAACAGATACCCCTCAGTCCACCTCACTCCATACACCGAACCTCTCTCTGACACCCCCACAAAAAGAAACACAAACACCAAAATGGCCATCTGGGGATCCTCAAGCTCCAACACCCCGTCCGCCAGCGAAGCGGACGTCAAAACCCACCTCATGAACCAAGTGCGGCAAGAAGCCGCCATGACCAACGCCCGGAATCTGATCGGTGTATGTATACACCTAATCTACCAAACAGCACATTGAGCGAAATCAATCTGACCAAGGGCGTCCTTTTTCCCGCTTGTAGAAAGTCAACGAACACTGCTTCGAAGCCTGCGTCCCCAACCCGGGCACATCGCTCTCCTCCGCCGAACACACCTGTCTCTCGCAGTGCATGGAGAAGTACATCTCCTTCTGGAACGCCGTCAGCCGTAGCTACATCTCGCGTCTCTCGACCGAGAGGAAGGCTTATAGCGGTAGTGCCCTTGACGCATCGTTCGTTGGAACGGGGCAGGAATCCAGCCTGTGAGCTCTGGCGCATCGGAGCTTGAGATTTGTTGAGGAGGGGGTAGAAGGTTGATTGTCTCTGTGATTGCGACATTACGAGGTTGCGTGGTGCTGTTTTCAAACCCCCTGCCTTGAACGGTTATGTGGTACTTCGGGAGGGCGTTATTTTCTTGCCGTCAGGTTCAACCGGTAGGGTTTTTGTACAATACTATATCCAGAGGTATGGGGTGGGTACTACGGTGTAGAGTAGAGAGGTACTCGTTCAAGTTTGAAAACGTGATTTATATGTGGCCGGCAGAGCCTCCGAGGCCGATTGACAGCCAAATCTGATGGAAGACGTGCTGGGTCTGTCTTTGACGATCTTCAGATTTGACGTCTACCTTTTCCACTTGTTTTAAGACATCGAATATATGTACATTATACAGGACTGAAGATGAAATCGACGCAGACAATGGATAAGGCCAAGAGCCACCTTTATCCCGTACTCATAACCAACACTCACCCATTTGCGTGTGCCAGCGCGAACAGAAGACGAAAATAAAAAAAAAAAAAAAAAAAAAAAAAAAAACGGAAAGGCCCGTACAGCCCCCCACAAACGAGCAAAACGAACAAGCACACAACCAAAACCACCAAACACACCACCCATATAAAACAGTGCAAAAACCAAAACAACACAACAGCAAACAAGAAACCAGAAGACTATATTACAACCCCACATTCCTCACCGTACACCCCACCACAAGATGGGACTCGCGCAACCTGTCACACGTGCGTTGATTTAACTT